ACAAATTCTGCTATAGGGGAAGTGTAGTTGGGGCGTCGAAACCCTATGTTTAAACCATTATTAGCCATGATTCTTTTGACTATATTTGTTATATTATTTTCGACCAACAGGTTGTCTTGTCTCATTCTATGAACAACTTCATCTGTATCTTGGCCTCTATTGACCATGGCTATTCTCCTGGGTGGTTCCTCAGGATTTGGCTATCAAATACCTACTGGTTTAACTCTTGGTTCTTCGAAAATATTTTGTCTAGGTTGTTGAACCTGGTTTATGGTTGGTTCTTCTTGAACTCATATGATTTTTTGCCCGCGTCGAACAGGTGGTTGGGGGTTCCCAAAGAAATCCGCTATTCGCGCCATATGCGCTGACAACTGTTGGTATGATTGGGTATTTTCTTGATTGGTCCTGTTTATATTCTAGATTAGAGGAGAAAAAATAGTATTCATTTCCCTCGACAATATTCCAACCATATCATGGTTACTAGCGTCTATTTGTTGTCTAAGTGATGTCTGGGTATTTGTTGTTAAAGCAGGCATCTGGGCTGACATGCCTTGGTTTTCGGCGCTTCGACCAATTGAACCAACATTTTGAATCGGCGAAAAAGTACTTACGTTAGGTTGTGTATATGCGGAAGTGCCATTGTGTAACCCACACATGAATGATGATGAGGGCCCTCCATATGATTGTTCTGTCCAAGGCCTAAAATTTTCGAATCCTGGTGGCCTAGGGGGTTTCGAAGGTGGTACTTGGCCTCCTACATATGTCAAAATAGAGCCATTTTGAGTATTCGAAAGAGACTCTGATGTACCCCCCAAAGGGGGGCACGTTGGTCAAACTAGCCACAGAAGCAGTTCATGTGTAAGGTGGATTCGAATTAGTTGCGGCCATTGATCCTATTGATGTTGAAATGGCCTGGGAACTAGTTGTCAAATTTGTACCGACCGTTCCTAATCCTTGTGGAGGATTTTGTCCTCCTTGATCATTAATTGTGTTAACCATTCTTCTGGTATGTTTTTTCTTAGGTACTGGTTGAGATTCACTAATAATTCTGCCACTCCTAAGGTTCATATAACGCTTTTACGTATTTTACCTGAAAATAGTCTTTTAAACCGTCTGTTATGATTACAACTGGTTTTTTCCTAAAACTTTATGACACAGTCCCACTGTGCGTGCCAATTTGTTCGCAGTGATTTCTGGCGAAACAACCGCTAGTCTTCCAAACAGATTTGATATGTATGGTTACTCGTAGGATCGACTAGATTGATCCTAGGACATGTGTCTTAACATTTATTATAACACTTACTTGACGGTTTATGTTAAACACGGCGTAGTGTTTGTGCATGTGTTTGTGTAAAGGCTTAAAATACAAAGACTTCTGGAATTAAATTCAAATGTAAAGGTTTGGACGAAACGTCTTAATCAAAAAAAGTTTGAATGTAAATACTTGACAATGAAAAGACTTAAAACTGGAATTAAAGGACTTGATTGTAAAGGAAAGAGCCTTTTAAAAGAAACTTGATACATAAACTTTACAAGAAAATGAAACAATTCGACAAAACATAAAGAAATTAAGAACAATTGCAGGAGTACGTAAAAGAATGGTTCAAAAGAAATTATATTGATAAATGCATTTCGAAGATAAAATGTGTGATGTCATACGTACATTCTCAATGAACTCTTTCTCTGTAACTTGGTACTTGAGTATTTTATGAGTAATTCTGTACGAATTATGATCATCCTTTCTCCCTAACACTAAGGAACTATTTATAATGTTCTAACCATAACAGTATTATTCTAATGAAAAGCCACGTCGCTTCTTGCATGTCTTTCGACACTCTAAGGATTCCACGCGTCTTTCTTATCCAAAGAAACTATTTCGAATTTCAAACATTCTCGCACAAGCCTTCAGCAACAACTTTCTCACGTGGCCGTCGAAACGCGCGTTTTTGACAAAACAAAAACACTTGTCCTTTCAAACTGGCTTCTTCGACTCAGATCCAGTAACAACATACTTCGTCTATAGCTTTTTTAAGCCATCTTGTGGAAATTTAAATGAATGATTCCTTTATTATCCTGGTCGAAATTCCCAGCAAACACATGGTTAACAGATTTCAAACATTCATGTTCCTGTTAAAAAGAAAAATAACAATTTGAGGAGAATTGAATTTGGTTAAACTATAAAAATAAGAACCGTTAAAATATACCTCTCCGACCCAGATATGCGGAGAAACATGGTCTCCAAAATATATCAGTAATGACGTGCCAGTGGACCCTCTTGAATAAGGATCTGCAAGTGGAGAGAGACCATCGCATACAGCTGGAACCTCCTTCTCTTGGTGTACACGAGCATGGGATGACAACCCATGTGATCATGGTAGTCAAAATTCTGATCCCACTCGTAGTATTGTACAATTTTACTATCTTGATAGAGCTTGGTGATTCTGTGAAGGAAAAACTCGAATTTAGGTGGGAATAGTGAGATCACAGTGTAAAAATGGTTGGAGCGGTGGAATCGGTATTCATGTCATTTCCATTCTAAAAATTTTGAAATAGATTTTTTTCTCTGTAACATGTATAGCATTTATTTTTCATACTTAATTCCAATTAAATTCCAATTAATTTCTTAAACCTTCCCAATACAAACTTTCCAATATAGCCACTAAACCTATTAATTCTCTAAACCACCTAGCCTATTCATTCCATATTCCTTTCACGCACTTTAAAACTTTTGAAGTTTAAATATTACCCCATTTCACTATTCTTAATCTTTTTCCCTTAAATCTGGGTGTGATTTAAATTTTTTTACTAAATTATATATATATATAAGATTTAAATTTTTTTACTAAATTATATATATATATATATATATATATATATATATATATATATATATATATATATATATATATATATATATATATATATATATATATATATATATATATATATATATATATATCAGAATCTGCAAGGTGGTCGGATAATGATTTTGTCGGGTTGTGATGTCGAGGAGGAAAAAATAGGGGTTGTACCTACAAGACACTCCGACGATCAAGTAAGTGTGAGAGCCAAGAGATACAAGCAAAGTATTAGGATATTAGTGGTGAATAGTGAATATTCGATACCTGACCCTCACATGTGTGAGAGTTTATATAATGCCCTTGGCGCATGGTCATTGGTCCCTGTTTTTGGGCCTGGATATGAGGGTTCGTAAAAATAGATAACTGCCAGGACTTGGTCATATCGGGCAGGTGTGCCCGTAACTAGTCGTTAGATCCGAGGAAGAGGTAGATTACGGGCAGCGATCTGGTAGATTCCTGGTTGTCTGTGCGACTTGAGGTTGGACAGGTTGAGAGATGCCCGTTAATCATCGTGGGTCAGTGCCGGTCCAGGAGGACAAAGGATCGATATTGTCCGACGGAGATCAGAGGAGATTCGGGCTATGGACGTATGAGCCGTGCCGAAAGAATGAATTAGACTGGGTCCACTCTGGCTGTCGGGTTAGTCCAGATTCATGAATTGGTAGGATCTTGTGTTACGATACTCTGATTCATGATTTTGTGTCCCCTCTCTTATCCCGCATATGATCTCGATTTTGACTACCTTGCATATGATAGTCGGCTCCTAGAAGTCGACGCTTCCCCGTCATAAGGTCTAGGGACGACTCTCCCCATACCTCTGGCCTGCTCATGTTGAAGAGCCCTCTCGCGGAAAGCAGACGCGGTTAGAGTTTCACGGCTTAGTTTCATTTTGTTGTTGTTTGCAGTCATTCTCCTTGATAAAAACATCAACAACAAAAAAAGAATTAGTGCACCAAGAAGAAAAAAATTGAAGATGCATCTTCAAACACCAGAAATGGCCCATTTCGGAGATGTATCTGCGAACATATCTTAAAACACTTTCGCAGATGCATCTTCAAATTTTATTTAGATAAAATAAAGAAATGGTGTGTTCGAAGATATATCTCCGAAAATAAAGAGCATTTTTGACAATAGTATATGACTATTTGATCTTAATCGAATGGTTCTGATTTGAAACAAATTATTTTGTGATGATTAAATATGTTTTACCTGAATAATAAGATCAAAATTATACAGTTGATAAATGCTTGACAACGCAAATGTGGCAATAATCTGACTGTGGCGGGTTCAATTTCCTCATCTCACACTAATAATAGAAAATCATCATTAATCTCTATATAGTCAAATCTATAATTATTTATTGATTTGAAAACTTTGAACTTAAATTTGTAAGTTTTTCAAAGAAAACAAATTCCAGATTAGCCTGCGGGAGTATTTAATTTATTAAAAGCAAATAAAAATTGAATTACATTTAAGATAAATATATTAATTGTTCCTAATTGAATATATTAATTGTTCCTAACTTCCTATTTATTAACAATAGGCTTCATAAACATATTAATATAGCTGCAACTGAAAAGGACTTGACAATGTCACCAACATGAGTTTACGGAAGTATATTTCCGAATTTTTTTCGGAATGCATTTTTTAACTAAATTTTAGAAAAAATATGAGGTGCGATTTAGTTTGAAGGAGTTTTAATTTGATCCGGGTACGTCAAGTCAAGAAATGTATTTTCAGAATCTGAGGAGCATTTTCGGATTTTCAGTGTTTTTCCCCTTATAAGATGCATTAAGAGATTCTTGAAAAAGAAAAGGAAGAAAAAGCCCAAATGTAGGAATGAGAGTAAAAGATAGTTTCAAATACTTGCTAGTCAATCGGTGAATATACAATAACTAGTTTCTTTTCTTTTTCAACTGTATATATAAAAGAAATTAAAAAAACTTTCTGGTTCCTCCAGCACTTGACTATATAACTATGATAAGCCTTGATGTCATATGCCCAAGTTATGGTTCTTCACAAAACTGCCAACTTCAGTAAATTACTAAATTTAGTAGAGTAAACTATATTTATATAGCGCTAACGACACAGTTAAAACAACATATTACCTAATCATTACTTGAACTACTGTCTGAGTAGTCATTTCCAGATGATGTCACCCAGAAATTTGAGAGCAGGAACACCTCTTATCTCAACATCAACAAGCGGTGCTTGGATCATCGATAAGGTCGAGAGTTCTGGATCGTTCTGAATCATATCAAGAGCACGCGTTTGATCCTGAAAAGTTTGTTTGATATATGCTGATTAATCAGTTATCTCATTTTCAGTCACATTGTTTTATCAATTGAATTACCATTCAGCTTAAACCAGTGGAAAATTAGAATAGCAAACAGTTAAAGTACCTTTCTTTTCACGGCACAAAACTTGCAATCAGATGCAGATGGTGGAAGAATTTGATTGACAATGAGTCTCTTTACAGGAACATTTTCCTTCTTCAATGAAGCACTCAATCTAGATGACTCACTAACTGCCATTACCTTAACGATTAAAGACAAATTTAAGTAATTACTTAGTCAGCTCCGTCTTTCCAACACAATGAATATGAGGTTTAAGGAATTTCTAGGTCATACCGTGGGGATTGTAACAATAACAAATTCTGTCGAATCAGTGTCACGGAAAAGCTCGCGCACTTTTATCATCCTCTCCCTAAGCTTCTCCAATTTGTCAGCCTGTATCATCAAGATATGGAAAATGGTAAGCATGTTATGATGAAACTAAATGGAACATTAACCCGACAACATGAATCTTACAGCATCTTGACGAGTATTTTCTTGCCCAAACACGGATTTAATTGCAGAGGTAGCTGAAGCTATCTTTTGTCTTAGCTGCAACAGCATAATGGCATTAACACAATTTGATAAAAACATATTCATAACGAATATAGATATGTGTGTGTTGTTTTCAATTTTCATTTATTATTATTAAAATTAGCAGTGATACCTTTAGTATTTTCCCGATAGATGCATCCAAGAAATCAGGCAAGGACAATAAACGTAATGTATGACCCTGTTCAGGAAAATGTGTAAACGCTATTAGATAATTTCCAAAAACAAAGCAGATATGAAATATATAACTATTAGCATTTTGCTCACTGTAGGTGCCGTGTCAAATACAATGCGGGTGAACATGTTATATTCCGGCGATTCAAGAAATTGCATAACCTGGCAAGAAGATTTTAGTTCTTAGTAGAGCGAAAAAAGGATTTATTGCACGAATAATTAGATTAGCAAATAAACAAGTCACCAGAGAGCATAAAAGAAAAGCATGCCTTGGAAATCGCAATAGCTTCATCCAGTCCAGGAGGAGGTGTATCCAGTAATTCTCCCAGTTTTAGCTCTCCTAACTTTCGCAACCAAAGAATGAAACAATGCGTTTTAAAAAAGGAAGCTTATAATGAAGCAGAACGAGTTATATTCCAGTATTTCCTAGTTGTAATATTAATTTTGTTTCGCGAGATTTCTTAAAATTTAAATAGCTTAAGGTGTGCTAGACGTTATAAGTACGCTACTATATTCTAAAAGCATTTTATACGTAAATAAGCTTTTACCTGGTCTTCTATCATTCCAAGACCCATGCCATCCATGAAATCTTTGACTCCAGTACTTCCACCATTTTGTTTAGCTGCATCTCGGAAATCTTCCCTAGCCTTATCAGGGTTTATCTGTAAAGCAAGTAACGAACTACAAAAGTAAGAAAACACATAACGAACTACAACGTAACATGAAATGGTGCACATAATATTAAGTATAACATTGATCTATTTTACAGAAACTCGAGCTTACTTCAAGCGCAAAAAGTGGATAATCAGGTCCATCGACTTGTATCAATGCTCCCCCTGCCAAATCCTACGGAGCAACATACAATCAGAACTTGCAATGAGGTAACAGTTAAGCAAGACTAAAACTAGAAATGGTGTAATTAATTAACCTGAGCAAAAGAATCACTCAAAGAATGCGCTGGATCGGTGGAAACTACAAGCGTAGGATGTCCATTATTTGCAAATTTAACAGCAAGGGAAGCAGCACAACTTGTCTTCCCTACCCCTCCTTTTCCACCTAGCATGTAATACTTCCTCTCAGTCCCAGCAACCATGTCATCAAACCCCGCTATTGATTCTGTAGGGGTAGCCACTGATCTCACTGACAACAAAACAAGGTATGAATATCAACCATAAAAAAGTAGTCCAATTCTCAAGAGATACATGAATAGCCCAAATTACTAAAGGAAAGCACTTTAAGACACTTCAGATTGAAGGCGTGTCTGGTGTCTCGACACCGGGGACATTAAATTACTTGAATTAAAGTAGCTAGTAAAGTATAAAATCAAAATAAGCATACCCATTAACATAACATAACATAATCAACACGGGGAAGTGAAAATTCAAACAATATAAAGAAAAGAAACATAAAAAAAAAGAGAAAGATAGGAAAAAGATAGAACCTTGAAGAGGCTTGGTGGGTGGTATAGTGGAAGAACGCAATGAAAGGAAGGTGATGGATTTGTGGAAAGGGAGGAGATGAGATAAGGTGGGAGGGAAAGAGAGAAGAGAATTTGTGGGTGTTGGATTTGTTATGCGAAGAGAAGATGAAATAGCAGAAGCTAAGTGGCATGCCATTTTCTTCTTCAACTTCAATTCAATTCAATTCAATTCAATTCAACTCGGTTCTTGTAATCCCTTTTTTCTTTGGTTTTGGTTTACTCTCTTTTCGGAGACGGGAACCAGGTTTGCTTATTACACTGATTTCTTTGAATCAAATACGGCCACGGCAATAACAAAATATGCATAAATATAAGATTTGCTTAATATAATATAATTGTGTAAAAAATAATAATAAATGTAGAAATTGAATTTAATAATTTTATAATGAGTAGAGGAAATAACTCTAAACAAAGATTTGAGATTTAAAATTGTATTTCTTTTGACTTTCAAACTCTCAATTTTAAATTTCACTAACTATTAACGACTTTTCTTTTCTGTTGGAACAAACTGTTTATAATTTTGCTTTGGTTTTAAATGATCATTCGTTAATGAATGGTGAGATTGGTCATTTAAATTAACATCCATTAGAGAACACTAAGACTGGTTTCTTATAAAGAGCTTTGCTATGCCTACTCTGACTTTAAGTGAACCCTTGGCTAGTGGATTGTGGGATTGACTAACTTTAAATGAATTTTTACTTGAGGACGTTGTTGATAGTATAATTAATCTCATTTATAGAGCTTTGTTATGATTCGTATAAAAACTCTATAAAATTCTTATAAAAAGTCAATCATTAGATGATAAATATTATTAAATGTATTAGATTAGTTAGTTAGTTGGCTGATCCACTCACTAAAGTCTTATCAAGAGATTTGTGTAAGGTGCAGTGGCAGAAAAAATGCAGAAATTATAAATGGAGTGAAATTTGTACTCAACAATGCAACAGTACAAATACAATTTAAGATACCAATGGAAATGGCTAAGCCAATTGTAGTAATGAATACATGGAATTAAAAGAAGGATCTAGAAAAGCTAAAGCTTCAGGAAAAGAAGAGAGTCAGGTTTCCACCAATTAATTCCACACCCAATCATTGGTGATTCCTCAACTATTTAACAAAGTCACCCACATATTTTCTGTTAGGAATTTTGGCTCTCATTCCACGTCCTTGCTCCTGGAAATTAGGATCGTGTGCCAAGTGTCCCTCCTCATCACAAGAATTAGTTACTGAAATGACTGATTTGCCCTTGTTCATAACATTACTCCCCTCATTAAGAATAACCTTGTCCTCAAGGTTGAAATTGGGATAGCATTGTGTAAACTCACTGCTGACTTCCCATGTAGCTTCAGACATAGGAAGATTGGACCATTTGATTAAAACCTGAGGTATCTCTTTGCCATTTTGCAACAAAACTCTAGAATCCAACATTGCTTCTGGTTGCAATATTGGGCCAACATCAGTAGTCAACAGTGGTAAAGGCATATATTGCTCCTTGTGATCTCCCTTGCACAACTTTAAATTCACAATATGAAAGACAGGATGGATTCGAGCAGAGAGAGGCAGCAGTAATTTATAAGCTACAGACCCAATCTTTTGAATGACAGGAAATGGTCCAAAGTATCTCATACCTAACTTCTGATTTTGATGTAAAGATATGGAGTGTTGTCGATATGGCTGAAGCTTAACCAAAACCATATCCCCAATTTGTAACTCAGCAAACTTCCTCTTGGCATCAGCATATTTCTTCATAATTTGTTGCGCTCGATTGAGATTAGTCTTGAGAAGTTGGAGAGTAGTATCCCTTTCAATCAATAATGCTTGCAGAGAGGGTGGATCATTGGATGTTGTATCATACTTGAGTAGTATAGGAGGATCTCTACCATAAACAACTTTGAATGGGGCCATGCCAATGCTGCATTGATAAGAAGAGTTGTACCAAAACTCTGCCCAATCTAACAATTTAGACCATCGCTGAGGCATTTGTCCTGCAAAACACCTGAGATACATTTCCACACTTTTATTAACTGCTTCCGTTTGGCCATCAGATTGTGGATGATAGACTGAACTCATTGCCAATGTAGTTCCACTAGCTTTGAAAAAATGCTTCCAAAAAGCACTTGTAAAGACTTTATCGCGGTCAGACACTAAGCTTTTGGGAAATCCATGCAGCTTGATCACAGTGTGTAAGAAGGCCTCAGCAACCTTAACACTAGTGAAATCAGATCGTAAGGAAGTGAAATGGGCATACTTTGAAAGTCTATCTACCACGACCATTATCACCGTAAAACCATTGGAAGGAGGAAGTCCCGTGATAAAATCCATCGAAACATCTTCCCATATTTGCGAGGGAATAGGTAGGGGCTGCAGTAGGCCACTAGGAGTTGTATTGGCAGACTTAGCTTGCTGACAGACTAAGCATTTGGAGACAAACAGACGGACATCACGCGATAAAGAAGGCCATGTGAATTGAGAAGCAATACGCGCTTTGGTACGGGCAATACCAGCATGACCTCCCAACATGGAAGAGTGAAATTCCTGCAAAATGGATTGGACAAGTGCAGCCTTAGGAGGGACCACAATCTTATGCTTCCAATATAGAATGTCTTGTCTCACTTGGTACAAAGGGTCTGTATTAGTACCCTGCATACATAGGGCTTTGATCGCGGACAAAGACGGATCAGCATTGATATCAGAATTGATAACTGACAATAGCGGATTGACCGGTCCTGAAGATGCCATAAAGAAAGACCGAGATAGAGCATCTGCAGCTATGTTATCCTTGCCTGGCTTGTACTCTATAGTGAAGTCAAAGCCAAGAAATTTATGCAGCCATTTCTGTTGCTCTGGGGTTTGGATTGTCTGATCGGTGAGAGCCTTTAAACTCTGTTGGTCTGTGCGGATAATAAACGTATTGCCCAATATGTAATGCCTAAATTTGGTCATGGCTTCTGTTACAGCATAGAGCTCTCTGACATATGCTGATTTTGTCTGCATAGAGGGATTGAGCTTCTTCGAAAAATAAGCAATAGGGTGCTTATCTTGACTAAGAATGGCATCGATCCCTGTCCCCGACGCATCAGTTTCCAAGATAAAAGGTTTGGAAAAATCAGGTAGTGCTAAAACAGGGGCGACCGTGATGGCTTGCTGCAACGCAAAGAAGGCATCAGTGGCAGAAGGAGTCCACTCAAAGGCATCCTTCTTCAATAAAGCAGTCAAAGGGGCAGCAATGGTGGCATAGTTTCTGATAAATCTTCTATAATAACCCGACAGCCCCAAAAATCCTCTTAGTTGCTTCAAATTTATTGGAATAGGCCAATCCAGTACAACCTTTACCTTGTCTTTATCCATATGGACACCTTTATGAGAAATAGTGTGACCCAAGTAATCAATCTCAGTAAAACCGAAATAACATTTGGACCTCTTAGCAAATAAGGAATGCTGACGCAGGAGCTGGAGTACTTCAGACAAGTGAGTTAAATGAGAATACCAAGAGGGGCTGTATACCAAAATATCATCAAAAAACACCAAAACTATCTTTCTTAGTTGGGCCTGGAACACATGATTCATGAGGCACTGAAATGAGGCAGGAGCGTTTGAGAGTCCAAAAGGCATGACTAGCCATTCATACAAGCCTTGGTGTGTTCTAAAAGCTGTTTTTGGTCTATCTTCTGGTCTTACTAGTATTTGATGGTACCCTGAGCGAAGATCCAACTTTGAAAAATAATGAGCACCATGGAGTTCATCAACCGTAGGGATGGGAAAACTGTCCTTGACAATGATAGAGTTGAGAGCGCGATAATCAGTACAAAATCGCCATGAGCCATCTTTTTTTTTAACTAGCAAAACAGGGGAAGCAAAAGGGTTGTTGCTAGGTTGGATAATACCTTGTGCCAACATGTCTTTAACCATGGTCTCTATTTGTGCTTTCTGACTGTGGGGGTACCTATAGGGTCGTACCTTGACTGGGTTACTACCTTCCACAAGGGTAATAGCATGATCATGGAACCTACCTGGTGGTAATGACTTAGGTTCAACAAACACATCATTATAATTGTGTAAAAGTGTTGTAATGTCAGGGTGCAAATCATGATCTAAAGTAGTATCTGCTGGTACAACTTTATCAAATTGCAAGGTAAAAGCTACATCAATAGCATGAGTGTGGTTCAGTCGTTTGATGTGATGGAACTGGGCTAGGCTTGGACCACTAGGTTTGTCTCCATACAGTGTAACAAAAGTGTCCTTGACATAAAACTTCAAGGATAAAACATTGTAATCTGCAATATGTGGTCCCAAGGTTTTTAACCATGGTACACCCAAGACTAAGTCTGCACCTGAAATCGGCAACAAATAAGCAGGAACATGGAGGGTATTACCCTGAATGGCTACTGGTAAATCAGCTATATAGCCCATAGTAGTCAAAGAATGGCCATTACCAACCAATACTTGAAACTGAGCGTTGGACTGAATTGGTAGTTATAAGGATTGGGCAATCCTAGGCTGCAAAAAATCATCTGAACTCCCACTGTCTAAGAGAACAGTCACCGCAATGCCTTGTATTTGACCTTGAAAGCACATGGTTCCCATCCCGTGAGAACCATTTAAAGCGTTCAGAGAGAGGTGATGCTCAGAGTCCCCCAGGGAGGCTGAATCAAGTATGGTGTGCTCAATGGTGTCAGGTGGTGGATCGTTGTCATCATCATCCATTTGAAGAAGAAAATAATGACGGTTGGGGGCATTTGTGGGTAATAGAGAATTTCTCATCACAATAATAACAAAGCCCTTTTTCACGGCGGAGTTGCATTTCGGCCTTGGTGATGTTTTTGACGGGGTGGCTTTTCTGCGGTGTTGAAATTGGTTTGGGATTTGGGAGTAATGGTGGTTGTGGGTTAGCTTTTGGGGTGGTGTTTGTGGCTGGGAAATGATAGGGTTTTGAGGACGAAGAATTGGGAAATTTAGTGTTGGGTGATGGTGAGTATTTATCCTCAAAGAGTCGGGCCAGCGCGTAAGCTCTAGATAAAGAATGTGGAATTTGAGCGATTACATCGCGCTTGATATCTTTCTGAAGACCATTGATGAAACAATCAAGGGTGGCTTCTGGGCTTAATCCTTGAGAACGGTTGGCTAACGCGGTGAAGG